CTCTCTCTCTCTCTCTCTCTCTCTCTCTCTCTCTCTCTCTCTCTCTCTCTCTCTCTCTCTCTCTCTCTCTCTCTCTCTCTCAATCAATCAATCAGTCCAATCATGATTGTAGGATCTTGATTGGACCCCGAGGGGGCGTATAGCGACAATCCGGCAGGTGCAGCGACCTCGGTTGAGTGCCGATCTTCTTCGATTCGCGGCCTTCTTCAGCACAACAGCCATTCACGCAGCAGCAGAGTTCCGCTTCGTACATGCAGGTGTGACGTGTGTACTGGCCGAGATTTTGGCTTTCCAGCGTCTGTCCTCGCCCGACATTAGCCACATATCCGTCATCGTCACCTTCATGGGTGATATCACGGTGGTACACTCGGGGATTCATACGGACATCTATCGGCAGTTGCAGGGTTGGGCCGAGGAGATCACGGCCACGTGAGTCGAGTTATTGGCTCGGCCGGGGGAAAGGATCGTGACCTCAAACGACATAGATCTCCAACTCCGCACCTCCAGCAGCACGCCGGAGATCCTTCTCCCAGAGCTCCTTCCCTTTGAGCATCCCCAATGAACCGTCATCGTCTTTCCTTCTTCAACCTTCCGTCTGATATCCCCACCTTCTGGCAATCTGCTATCGATCCTGCCCTCTCTTTCCAGATCCAGGAACTCAGCGTGCCGATCTTGCACGAAGACAAGTGGAACGAGTGGTGGGACGCTTACGTAGAACTCGGCTTCTGTTTGGTGGACGTCGTGTTTCACTGGGTGGAGCCGGCCCCAGAAGCTGAAGGGGGTGAGGTTCAGGACGACGAGGTAGAACTGTTGATCGTGCAGGCTTGGCGAACGGATACGGAGGGGGAATTGTTGGGGATAATATTCGGCAAGGTGGAAGAAGGCCATCTCGACGCAATCACGGATGAGTTGCTGGTGTTTTTAGCGCAGTTGGTGGACGATTTACCCCTCGACATCTTGTCGAGGTGTGACGAGAAGCCAGGGACCAACGTGCTCACTCGCACGCTTGCACCGCATCTGCTGTGGTCCACGTGTACGAAGTTGGACGGAGATAACTGCTTTTACCCGTCCCCGAGCCTCTATCTCGAAATCGACGTCACCAATCTCACATTGTGGGACCCTTTTGTCCGGCGAGGAAACGCGCTAGGAGCCAGTGACGAGGAGGAAGAAGAAGAAGAGGAAACAGAGGAGGAAGAATCGGGCACTGATCAGGACGATCCCGATTACATCGGGTCAGGGGAAGAAAACGAGGCGACAGGAGAGGAAAGTGGATCGGAGGAGCCGAGTGGCCGTCCCAAGCGAAGCAAAGAGGAGGAAGAGGCAGAAGCTCAGTGAAGGCGGGAGAAAGCGGAGGGCAAACGGCTAGTCGGAGAACCCGAAAGGCCGCCACCACAGTTGCTGCTAGGCGATCCATTGCTAAATCTGGAGCCGCCGCACGAAGAAGGAAATGGAGCCGCGGCAGAGGGATCAGGAAGTCGACGCCGCCGAAGGAGCGAATCACCGGCTCCGTCTTCTCTGCCATCACGAGTCACTCTTCGCCTTCGTCGAGATGCGGGTGATCGGGCTTCGTCCCCGGTCGTTATCCCGTCATCCCCTTGACTTCCTCACCCCTCACCAACTTTGGGTCGCCCCCCGTTCCCTGATGGATGGTGCCCTTTCCCGCCCTCTCTCTTCCACCAATTGTAGGCCACCCGCCTTCTCGTCACCGTCGTCCTGCATGCTACCACCCGCTCCTTCATTGCCTCCTTCCCTCTCCATGTCCTTTTCAGCTCCAACTGGCGGGAATTTAATAATATAGAAGTCTACTGCATCATCTCGGGCACAATCCCCGCCTGCCAGAATTACGAGAGCTTCCGCGCTGCCATCCCTCGCACCCTCTCCACCCTCTACCCCGACTATCTCGCGTCTCTCCCTCATCGACAGGAGCACCCCCGATTCCCTCGCATCCATCGCACTATCCACTACACCCGGATCCCCACCAACGATAGAGAGATCCGCCGCTTCATACCTCCCCTCCCCCAAGTCCATCCACCACCTCCTCCGCCCATTATCAGATTGCCCTTCCCCGGAAACATTTAGGATAGAGCCCGCGAAGGCCACGTTGAATAACTTCCACACTCTTATCTCACGGTAAGTGGCACGTTTGAGCTCCGCGTCGATCTTCGGGATATAGATCGACGCATGATGAGTAAGCAAGCGGGCGCTTGCTCAAGATTGAAACCCCCTGGGCATCACATATGTGACGTCACATATGTGACGAACCATTTTCTGTAATCACGCGACTTTCTGCGCGAAGTTGCTTTGGGGGAACGGGACAGGTTAGTAGGGCGAAGTACGTGGGGATGGGACAGCTGGGCAAGTTGCATGGATGTCCTCGTTTCTTTTTCGATTTTCTTTTTTGATTTTGTTGGGCCAGTATCGGGAAAGGTCCCGCCTAGGCAGCAGGAGACCGCGCCTTAGCGAGCGCGAAAAATAATTGTTGCCATTATAACTTCTTTCTTGTTCAGCTGGGGCGAAGGGAACGAGAATTTTGGTGCGACGCCCGCACGAGAACATCGTTTTTCTTTTTCAAAATTTTCTTTCAACTGATGTCGAGCCCCCGTGGGCTCCTCGGAATTGTTTTTCGAGTTTTTCGTTCTTTGGAATGTTTTTTTCTTCTGCAATTCGGATTTAGATAGGAATTTAGGAACCTTGAAATTTTTGTTGCGCTGTGCTTCTTGCTTGCGTGCGCGTGTCTGCGGCGGGAGCAAAACTCTAACTAAAAAGCGCCCTTAATCTTGTATCTTTTGGTGGATGCAGCTGCAACTGTATCTCTCTCTTCTTGACTCTCTCGCCTTTCTTTCTGCCTTCTTCCTTCCTGCTGTGCATGCATGCTCCCTCATTTTGATAGGTCAAAGCGCTAGATGCCCAGATCGACGCGTGGAGAGTGGCTATGAGCCCCACACCGCGGCCTAACCATGCAGAACGTAGGCACTTCCCTTCTCTCCTGCTTCCTTCTCTATTGGGTATGATCCTGAGTTTCTCACGCAAGCACGCATGCTATAAATTTCGCAAGCGCGACTGATTCGCTCTCTATGGATTTGGAAGGTTAGCGCGGTCAATGAGGATCGGCTAACGGAGCAAGTTGGAAGGTGAGTGGAAGTGAGTCGGGCGATCCGACGGCCTGGTGCCAAGTAAGCGGGGTTGACGTGCGGGCCACGACGGACTGTGGCGCATGCCATGGGCGAACCTGGCGTGCGCGCTTGGACTAAGCGGGGTGACGACTCGGTGTTGGTGCGAGACGACGGACTGTCCGCATCGGAGGGGACGTGGTGTAGAGAGAGAGAGAGAGAGAGAGAGAGAGAGAGAGAGAGAGAGAGAGAG